ACGAAAATAGGCAATATAGTATACAGTGGTTAATACCAAGCATTTGTATTTATACATATTTTGCTGCTGCACAAGTATCGAAGTCACTTATGGGCAGAATTTCTGCGTACAACACTTAGACAGAAAATACTATTAAAATGAGCTTTTTATTATGCTTATAACTTTCAAGTAATAGCAGAAAACTAATCCGAGACAAGCCGAGCACAGATTAAACGTCTAGGTTGGACGGGGTCAAGCTTGCTTTTCTCAGGAGAGCGATGCATTCGCATCCACCCTGCCATAACCGTTACGTGTATTTTACTAGTAAATACGCCATTATTTATTTAAAATTTAGAACGCCGCCAAAAGCGCCCTTCTACCTGGAACACATGACGAAAAGAACTAATTATTCAGGTCAATCTTGGGTTTTTACTTCTAACCCTACAGTAGACTAAATATGGAAAAAGCCATATGGTAGTTCGCTATGCAGTGCAGGGCTTACATAGTGTTGTCTGTGCTAATCAGTTCTAGCTTAGGCCGGATAAAAACTGTAACTCTGTCTGCTATAGAGGCCTTTGTGGACGATACCACACAGACTCATGTCCAAAGGTGCCTTCTTTAAATAACGTAACGCAGAGGAGGACAACAGGGTCATAGCCTCTTCGCTACGAATTTTATTTTTAATTATTATTATATTTATTTAAATATATATAATATATTTAATTATTAAAGAATTTTAGAATGTCTATATTGTTCATTTACTAGGTACCTGGCAAATATTTAAAAAAAGGTATCAATTATAGTCGCAAGATATATGCAGTTAACGCCTTTGCCATGTTTTTTCAAACTGAGCTTGGGCTTTCTCTCAGAAAATAAATAAATCTCGGTGCTTTGAAATGTAGTAGTAACGATGGGATAATGGACGCTACCTACAGCTTTATTTGGGCGCTCGAATTCCTAATTTAATAATAAAACGCGCTTGAAAGATATTATCTAGGAATGGTATTGACTACTGAGACCTGGGAAAGGAATCAAAGTAAGCCTGCGAATCGATTCCTTTCAAAAAAGATGAGATTTCTTCTTGACCCTTCTTTAAATTCTGGAAAGTACAATTTTTGAATGGCTCACACAGAAAAACGGGTCTAGTAGACGAATTCGAGCTAGACTGCGGTTTGACAGCCTTCTCGCATTGCATGAAGTACATGGGCAGAAGGGTATATAATAGAAAGAAATTAAATAATATATGCGCCTTGCCGTATAACTGAAGTCCATATAGTCATTTAACGTAGCATTTCCACTCTACGACTTTAATCTTCGAAAATTAACAAACGTTGACTTAGATACTTTTAGTAGTTTAGAACTAGTTAAAATCTGACTTAGGTTCTTGTGATTAACCATACATCTGGAAAAAAGATTGCAGATATAACCTCATAACGAAATTGCGCCAAATTCAAAACTGTTGTTTTTTGTTTCTGAACTGGTTATCATGCTCTGTACTCAGTCGAATCACAGTACAATTTTATATAAATAGAAGAAAAAACAATGTTTTGACACGACCAGCTAAGGATCTTTCAGGAATTCCGAAACACGGCATACTTCAGCTGTGCTATGGACTTATTTCATCGCTTATTGCAGAACTGGAGATTTTAACGTAATCTTCGTGGCCATCTGTCGTTACAAAACTAGCTACAGCCGCTGTCTTTAACGGTAACGAAAAGCTTTACCTTCACGAAAAAGAAGATCTAAGAGCTATGGGGGAAATGCACAGCTTGACTGCTCAAGCTGACAAGATGCCCGCAGTGTGATAGTCTTGTGGTGCAGCCCATTCGCGATTTTTATATGTTGTCTTGTCAAGAAGAGTTTTGGGCTTCTAATAGGTACAAGAAGTGAGCCACTTTACATAAAACTGGTGCTTTTAAATTAGATTATCCTGGGCATGTTTTTAGTGATCTGTAATGATGTTAATGTATATATATATATATATATATGTATAAAAGTCCTGCATAATTTGGTAGTAGAAATGAGGCCTATGGTCAACAGGGATATACTTATTTAACATACTTGCTTATGCTTGTGTTCCAGATTTGCTATAAAAGCACATCTTTTGTCAATTTTTTTTAAGCTACTGATGCAGACCATCGTCGACTGACAATGGAGTTGGATCTCACAGTCGTTATGATCGTTAACGTTGGTCGTGCGGATGATGTGGAAAAAGCTCGGCTCCTTCAGGAACAGCTGGAGAACCCTATCGGATATAATGAAGGTCTAAGCTGATTCGTGCTCATCCAATCTATTTGATCAAGTTGATCTTGCTTCGTTGAGACAAAACATCCTTGACTTTATGCACTTGAAAATAATAAGTCATTGTCATTTCTAACTAAAAAAGGGTACTTCTACCTGTCTCGTATATAGACCCCTATTTTCGTGAAACGTTGTTCATGCACCATTTATCTAACGCACCTAAGGATATGTTTCTTATCATTATTAGGTCAGTAGTTTTTCAGCTTATGTGGTATAAACCTTTAGAAGAGGCTTACCTATATGCTTTGGTCTCTTGGGGTCTATATCGATAATCTGGAGCAAGGCATATTAGAAAGCGGAAGCGTCCACAGAAATGACGCGGACTTATTTTTGGACTTCTACTCTTGAATCGGGTGCCTTCAAGCCGTTCCTCGTGGATCTGGATAATTATAATCTAGCAGAGCAAAGCATCTGGGTTACAAGCTGCGTGAGAAGAATTTTCGAAGTCAGTGAAGCTTGACGAAATCAAACGTTTCCATGAAACAGATTTCTCTGTAGATCTTTGCCTCTTCGGGGTTTTGTATCGCCGAGTTGCAGGGTGGCAAGCTATGTCGAGTCGCAGTCTTCATTCACTATTTCAATATATTTTCGAAATCAATGTGGAGTAGCCCTTTTTGATTTCATAATATCCTATGAGCTTCGTTCCCCGTATCGATCTTATATAGAGATTACTTTTTCTGTTCCTACCGCGCAAGCAGTTACACATATGCATATAATCGAGCGGTTAGATACCTTCGCAAGTTCACATAGAATCCACTTTAGAACCTTCAAAATATTTCGTAATGCAGACGATACATAAAAGTGATGCGACTATTTCCTATATACTTGCGCTGAACCTTCACGCGTAAAAGGTTGCAGTTCATAGTCAACTGGTCGGAGAGTAATCTGTGGTTTAAAATGGCTATGTTTATCTCTATGTGCTGTTATATATGTATTTCTGCGTACTAAACTTCAATCTCTTAGAAGTCGCTCGCTGCTTTCTTTCGTTTGAGAAGAAGTAATTATGAACGTAATATCAAACGCGCAGTTTTTCGGTTACGCTACAAAGTAAATCAATAATATCTAATTAGAAAAAGAGCGCACGAAGTTTGTAACCAAACGACGAAATAAGATAAGCCAATAGCAAAATTCGAACGTTGTTGATTTGCTGAATTATACATTATAAATAAATTGACTTCATCTGCTCAGTATTAGTACTCCTATATTACACTACTGGGTGACGTAGCATTAAAACACTTTTTTCATATGAAATGCCATTGTAACTGACAGTTCTCTATTTTTTTTTTTTTTTTTTTTTTTGTTAGTCCTGTAATGATTCACCACAGGTTCCCTTCTACAAAACAAAAACGTTTAGGTTTCCTGAGAACGCAATACCACCACATTGTGGCCGATTGCAGCAAATCAGGTCCGTGAATCCAGACATTTATAGAAGTTTTCGCGAAACAAAGCTCACTTTATCAAGACACAACGGAAGATAGTACCAAAAAGCGATTCATTCCTCTCTTCTGTGTGATTAACGTGATAGCGATAGAAGGACGGGTACTGCCAATAACACGGCTTATTCGATCACTGATAACTATAATCTAACTACCCGTAACTACCAAGGACTACTTCCTGAACCACCGCATTTTTTTGGGTTTGGCTGTAACATTTATACTGGCGGTGGTTAAATTCTTGAAATATATTAGTCGTTCACTTTAGTCCAGCTGCTCTGTAAAAGTTTTATATGAACCTAAAAATGCCATATTTTGGCATCGTTCTTATCTAATCAAATCTGAATCTTATTGATCGTAAAATGGAAGATAGTAATTATGTTTGCGTCAGAACTAGATAGTATTTACTGGCCTACAACGGGTTCGCCATGGTTTTTTTTATCATGAAAGATAACGCTAGCAATGGCTGCGATGTTATGCTGAAACAAATCGTTCGTATAAAGCTAATGAAAATACCTTGTGCGTTCGGCAAGGTTGGTTCGTAAAAAAGGTATTTTAGCAGATCCAATTATGAACTAGTCAGTAGTGATTATTTGGCACTTCCAATTAAATTCAATATACGTTGATTTACGATATGGTGAACTAAGCACACTTTTATTTGCCTATCTCTTTGACCGCTTGAGTTACATCTACTTACCCCATCTCAACTCTCCACATTTGATCATACTCGTGTAGTGATACTGTAGTTGTCAGAGTTTTTGCTGTCTTTACAGAGTGAAGGGGTTCTCATGCACAAAATTACGGACAGAAGCACGCTTAGCAATATAATATGCAGTCCTTTGCCACGATGTCAAAAAAGTATAGATATTCCTGCAAAAAAAAGCTTATACCTTTACTTGTAAATATAATAACGACATAATACTAAGACAAAATGACTTTCTGGCAGGACTACATGGAAAATAAGACATTGCTAGCCTCAGTATGCTGGATAATTCCGATAGGAGGCACCTGCAATGCATGTATGGTAAATGTTGGAACTTAAGTAAGCTCCTTATGTATGTCATTTACCTAATATCCACTGAACAGCAACAACTTACAACGTCTCACCTAAACATCTCACACACACCGGCGCAAACGTGGTCGCCGGGCCATCGTTTAAGTGAGGTGTGGGTGATTATAAATGATTTACCTTAGTTTATGTGAGAAATAATAATGCATTGTTACTTGGAGTATTAACAATCTAATTAAAGAAAACATTTTTCCCTAGGATATATACAAAATGTGAAATTTATTTTACGGTGGTTCAAGCTCACGCTTTGCTCTAGAGGAATCGTAGAAGAGCTCAGATCAAGCTCGATTACAGAGTTGAAAAAGGTGAAGATTGGCGAATATTTCATAATTTCACTTATTAAAAACAACACGAATATTAAAAGGAGAAGCTCTTCCGCAATATGTATGGGGGGTGCGTTAATAGTATTGAAGATTAAACACGAAAATAGTTAACACAAATTTTTTTCACATGTAAGTTTATGTATTCTTCTTAGTTAGCAACACTTCTCTATACCAGATACAATGTACTGGAAAGGTTGTAGCTTATGGATAAGAATATCCTATGAAGAAAAACCTAAAGATTAAATTCCCAATGAAGAAAATTATTATCCAACGAATGTTATTCATTATACCTCAGCATTACATTTGTGTGTTTGTTCTTAAATATTCTCAATCCCGTTGAGTCGATCTCTCTTTTTCTTCACGCACACACAGTCTCACAAATAAACACTACTATTTCGCTATACAGTCTCTGTATCCTTCCTGTCTATTTATGTATCTTCCTACAGTAGTAACTAGAGAAAGGAAAGTGTTTGCAGAGAATAGTCATAATCTAACGACATAAAATTAACAGCTATTTTAAAGGTTAAGTCAACTTGTCTAGCGTACTTGCCGGCTGCTTTCTCGTATTATATATATATATATATATATATATATATATATATATATTTGTTCTATTATTTGTCAGTTCGGGGCAGACCATGCATGAACGAGAAGTATCGCACTATAGACGTTCTTCTTCTTCCTTTTAGTTTTCTACTTTTTCAGTACAGATAATAACATGAATACGTGTAAATCAGCCACCATCGGGCAATTGTAAACGGTAACGTACATCACCGGAAGTTGGCCGTAGAGTTGTCAGTGAAGTTGATACTACCGTACAATCGAAGGAGAACTATTAATGCGGAAACTGTACCCGAAAAACCCTTTATGTTGGTCTTCTAAAATCGCTCGCTTGCGGTACGTGATTGACGAAAAGCGTCGGTCGAAGCGGCGGCGAGCTTTACAACTGATCGATAAGACACGGTATCCAAATACCGAGGGAAATATAACAAATATCTAGATTCTTTGATCGCACATACTTGTTGTTATCGGTGTTGTGAACAGCTAGTGAACTTTTTGGAGCGATCCTAGGCGGTAGTAAGTTAGGGTAATGGGATCAGGATAAAAGAAATAATTGAACTCACTCTGCGGGAGTTCCTCGAAATAATGAAATAAATTGTTGAAATAAACGGATTTGATTGTGGTCACCTATGAGCCACTAAAGATAAATAGAACGAGCTTGATGCTAAGCACATTCATATGTATGTATGCCTTTTCATTAATAAATAGTGGTACCATTAGGCCTAAATAAGAGCTTATGTACTAGCTGCTAATATATCTAGTGGTACGTACTTGTGTCGTTTTACTACGTTAGTTAAAGCTCAGTCAGGTGTAGGTGAGGTACGATAGAAAACGGGTTATTTCTAAATGTACATTGAGTGAGGCCTTCGACCGTATGGCAGAAAGCATACGGGAAAGTCAAGCATACGGGAAAACCATCCATATCGTTATGATGGAGCTAATAGGAGGAAAGTTATTCAGTACTGGTTATTAGATGAAAACTAAATATTGAACTGTAGAAACACAGCGCCGGAATCGCTTGAATGCTAGCGGGACACAATTTAATGTGTAGTACAGCTACCATGTGTGTATTTGCTTCGTCTGTAATTATAATTAGGCTATCACCAGATTCTGTGTTTGTAGTTAACAACACGCCTCTTGATCTCTATTGTACGTTTGTAATGACAAGCGCACAACTCGTTTCGGAAGTTGCCGGATACGATTTGCCTGAACACCATGAATATAATGGAGTTCTGCACGTAAGCCTTTATTGGTGCCATACGTATGGTTGCCTGTCTTGTGCACGTGACATACATTTCTGTCTAGCACCATTAAGCTGTTAAGTTTATAACAAGCTAATTCGCTTACTGCCGCTGGCTAGGAGCGTCCTGCCATTTTCCCAGGCATCTATTACCCATAAGTCTGCTCATACTGAATATATTTTATAACAAATATTATCGTATTAGGTACATCAAGGTCATTCGCACTTGCCAATATATAGAAAAGGTTATGGAACTATACTGGTATGCATATATATATATATATATACGTTTACCTGTGAGCGAGAGCTAGATAAAACATTACGATGTCTTACCTGTCTAGTATACGTCTTTAACACTGCTTCGTTTTAACTGTATTTTCCGCCATTGACAATTTGAATTTTCGAGAGTACATCACAACATACGAGCTTCTCTTCTAAGATCAGCTACACATTAATCTCAGTTTCCTTAGCGTGACATAATTTCATAGGAATGGTAATATTAGCAATCTGTAACAAACGAAAGGGTTCGGATAAGTTGTAGCACACACACAGTATAAATTCAACTGGTACGTAGCTTGCCTCCCCTTTCCGCGTGCCCTTTGTCTAGTCGTCTTATCATGTATGGTTCAACAAGTCCAACCATTTACTAGTTTTACGTTTGATTATTTTTACCCGTCCGTTCGAATCCAGCGCGCCATCTATTCAGCGAGATCATCATTTAATCTCAAGCGATAAACTCAATTTTAGACCATTTACTAAGTAAATTCTACTAGCCGATCTGGTCCAACAAACTACTGACTCAAATCATCTAACCGCAAAAGATTTGTGGGAATCGTCGCACTCTATCTATGTAGATCCACTCGTACGTATTGTGTGTATATATATCAATATATGTATTAGCGTATCGTATAATTGCATTTTAGCTATAATCATTTACATTGAACGGGTGAAACGATATACGAGAACAGAATCTCCCCATAGGGTAGAGGAAGAAGCCGGCATGACTAGACACTGATGAATTTCAATTGTGAATGTCTAAATATTGGCTCTAGTTAGCAAGTATTGTGATCCCTCGTGTGGGGCACTGCGTCAAAAATCTCAGCAGTAAGATTCTATAAAAAGAAGAGATTCATATACCTACATCACTTCCCTCGAAGGTCGTTTCGTGCCATCTGCCATGCAATAATTTTATAACAATAAAATAATAATGCATTGATTTGTTCCCATTGACAACCGTTGTACGCTGGATTATTTTTAACGAGTTACAGTAGCATGTCCAGTTCATATATGTAGTTATATGCAGGCATTTTTTTTTTCCACATTATTGTTCTTGTTCCCTAAGGTGTCTGCTCGAGCACCGTCTGCTGTTGTTCCACGTATACTACGATTCTTTAAAGCCAAACTGTCTAATAATGAATGGAGAAACAGCAAATTTGCAATAATAAAACGAACCGAAAACAATTTAACTGACTTTCTGAGCTGTTGGAAAGCTTTGAAAATCCTGCAAACGGTTTCTGCCAGAGAGCTGTGTCAGGTCAGTACTCTGCGTATGAAACCAGGCTGTCTGTTTAATAAAGTTTCGTTATTAGTTCATTTCCTTGCGAAGGCGATCAGCTGTATGAAGCTCGTCTCTCTTTATCACGGAGAAATTAAAACGGTACAATGTTTACTTGGAGAGATATCACTATTTTGTCTAAATTATGACGATTCTTAAAAATTATCAGTAATTTCTTGCAATCGACATAGTTGAAGAAAATGCAGCAGTGATTCGCGATCCGTCTTCAGCATTTTGCTTGCACTGAATTATTTCTATACCTGAGTGTGGGTATTGACAGATATCCGGTCGTCCAGGAATTCCGGGTTGATCAGGTGTGGTCCCGGGTTGTGAAACTGTAAATCAGTAATCGTTAATTTCATATATTCCATATAGACTCTTTAAAGAAAATCACTATTATATGGCTAGCGAGTGGCTTTAACTAAAGCAATTTTTTCTATTCCGATACAAATTCCATGCCGCTACTTTAACGAAGTTACTAAGTGCGTCTTGTAATTATAAAAACGGTTGTCATGCTTACTCACAAAAAATACGGTGGCAAAACTATGCCTGTGCCAGCTGTTATCAGACACTGAATCGTGTACCAAGTCGTTATCGAAGTTAGGGCTCACATAGTTACGGTTAAACTCATAAACGAATGAAATAATTGCCAGCTATTATTTTTGTATTTCAATAAGGGGTTTAGTTTGAAGTTAAACGGAGCGTAAAGAAGAGTCCATACCAATAGGAAATCGAGGTATATCTTTGTTGGAAGGTTCCAAAGAGAAAATCAAACCAATGAAGTCTGCGGTACTCCGCGTTTTTAAATGGCTTGTCATTTACATGACTGCAGGCGATCATTCTAGAATAAGGTGTCTCAAACAACCTTCGCGTCTATTTTGACGAAGCACCATTCTTGCGATGCACCTTTAAGTGCGATATTCCTCGCAGGTCGAAATCAGATATGTTAGATTATTCTTTCTCGCCGTGGACCGAGATCCATTCCAGTTTTATCTCAACTTAGTAGATTATTAATAGCTATCGTGGTTGCAGCTAAGTGAAGATGTATATTTTTATTCTTTATTTCTTCGGATGGCTAGCGCCAGGGAAGTTTGCAGGGAATCTCGGACGCTACAGCTACCGGAGCTGCATTGACAAGACCTGTCTATCTCACTCCCTTGTGTTAACAATTTCTTTTTTATCTTAAGCTCATAGCAACAATGTTACCCCACGGTTTGTGTCCTCTAAATGTTGCGAAGAGCAAGCTACAGTTGGAAAGAGAAACACGAGCTAAACACGAAAAGAAATAACAAAACGGTCATCATCATCATTACTTGACAACGTTTCTCTTCGCCGCGACGTTTGTGATTGCTGGTGCCATTGGCGAATACCCGAACTACAGTGCTCACAATGAAAATAATATATGCAGAGAGATAAAAATTACGATAATAGGAATAATAGGATCTGTCGCGTTTCAAATATTTGTTGATAGTAAAGATTTTTTTACGTTTTTGTCTGGAAGATAAAAAATTCAGGCAATTACCTTTCTTGGTTCCTTTGTCATCAGTCATTACGCATACATCGATTTCATCCATATTACATAATCGTTAGGGTATGACTACCGGCGATAAGCGGATGTCTGCGGCCGTCACATAGTAATTATCAAAGGCTATCCCCATATATATATATACCTGCAGATAGTTGGGATGACTTTTTAGGGGTCTATCACAGCGAAATCAGGAAATCCTATAACAACCACAGTTTAAGGGTCCCGTCTGGCCATATGAAACATAGCCTATAGCACGTCTTCGACATGATAAAGACTAGTCAAAAAGGGACATCACTTTTGACTTAACAGGACCAGTGACTTCTCTATTACTAAAAGGAAAGCTGAAATAAGCGCTCTAGTAAAAGTAAACATGTGGACTGCGCGCCGATATGTGGCATCGTATTATTTACTCTACCATAACTCAAACATTTCGATCCTTTTTTAACATGGCAAATATTGGATCTATATGTGCGGAAATTTTTCGCAAAAGATTTAAGCCTCAGTAAATAGCATTACGTGATAATACATCATTAGTGACAATGTGCGGGAAATGTTAAACAGGGGGATTTACCACAGAGCAAGCGGTACCAAGTACGTAAATGGATGGGCTATGTTAAAGGAATACATTGGTCTTGTCGATATACAGTGTTAGCGTGAAATACTCCACTAAATGCACAATTGCAGCGCAAGCACAATGCAACTAAATGTTTTGTGCTTACATCGAAAGCAGGGGTGTGCAGGATATAATACATATCAGTTAGCAATAAAAACAGATTTACTATTATATTGGTGCAAATCATAATTCCAATTGCTTGCGTTATAGCTTTCGTGGTATATATATATATGACCTACGTTGCTGTGACGGCTAACTCATTGTTTATAATAGGTAGAATGCTCCGTACAATTACGCACGCTGCTTAGATTCAAACCATCTTGATTGTACAGGACGATGTCTTGTTCTTTTGTGATGAGCGTTTCGACAAATAGCTGTAGTTCTTAGTGCTTGAGCGCCGTCGTCAGCCACGGAAGCTCAATTCCCGGGTTAACCAGGTGACGATGGAGAGTCTCCGTAAAGCGCCGCTTCCGCCAGGGATTTCTAGAAGCATCCAAGTATGAGAAAAGCCAGGACTGAACGTCGACTTATGCTTCAATTAAATCATCGTGTCAGATCGCAAGAGCTGATGTGCTTAACACAGCAGATTTCGTTCTTAAAGCCGGATAGCACAGCAAGACAAGCATAGGGTGCTCATAGTTGAAATCGTATTGGTGTTTCTTTCCTGTACAACGGCGTCTCTTCTGACGACCCAATTAAAAGTCTTATCCTTTCATTTTTTCATTGGTATAGCGGAAGTTCATAGAAAAACCTAAGTTCATTAAAAAGCCTAAGGCGTCTATACAAGATACGATAGCCCAGTTTGGGGACGTACAATAGCGTATTTTTCGATGGGGAATTTCTTGAGGTCAAGTTTCTATTGGAAGCATGAATGTTTCTTTTTTTTTCTCTGATATGTAAGAAAATGCCAGCTATATAAAATGAAGCTTAGCATTTTACTATAAATCAGAGTTGCCAGTTCCATCAGCGGTTGGGTCAGCAATCAGGTAGACAACTCGTTAAGGTACCCACACTGGAAATCTGGCTGGTCTAAAATAAACCTGCCAACGGCTAATATTTTGACTGCTTCAGCCATGTCACATTTCTCTCTAATTGATGTACTTTTGTGGATTCAGTAATAGGCTGCTCGAAGAACTTATCCAATTAGTAAGTGTTGGCCTAGCCTTTAAAATTCTGGCATGAGTAGTTTTATAAGCCCCGTTTTGCACGAAATATTATTAAGAATATGGGACAAAAGTTGTTAAGCAGCAGAAAACCTCTTATATGCTTCGAATGGCTTAATCGAATAATCGATTTATATCGCTGATCCGGGGCTCTAAAAATCTGAGAAAAGTCAAAGCACTCAGAAGGCAAGTGAAAGTTTAACATAAGTGACCTACGATGTCAGAGATTTATACGTTTACAGGGGTAGTTCTCGTAAGCTTCAAATTCAATATTTGCTTCACTCTTAGTAAAATCTCAATGCAGAACACGCACTTACTTACCTTTGTCATTTAAAGAAATTAAATAACAAAAAAATTTTCTAACTTAGCTTTATTTAGAATACATGTGAGATGAAGTCAACGTCTGCTGAGGGGTCGCGTGTAACAAAATTTCCTGAACAGACGAATGCGCTCCTCAAGTAAAAATTGAGCACAGTGAAGCTCTTGAAAGTAAGTGAGCTTCAAATCAAGTGGACGCAATGCTTCTGGTGTTTAAATAACTACAAAATCTTCTATTGGATAAGTTTTAATCTAGTGACAAGCATCGGTTTGCCAGTGTATTCCAAAATCCAGCTTTTTTTAAACTTGTAGGCTATGTAATGTTATGTTTGACCGTCGAATATAGGCCAAGAGTGTAGAGACGTATGTATTTTTGATGACAGGATTGTGGCTGACAGTTTGCATAAAATAACTCACTCTAATGCGATCCTCGGCCAGGCCTTGTACACCCACGCCCCCTGCGACATTGCCACCACCACTTGGACCCGTCCCGTTCTGGGTGCCTGTGATCGACATCCGGACCTTTGCCTTCATTGCGTTATACATGGTCGTCTGCAATGAAAGCCAAAAATGAGTAATAATAACTTCTATTCTTCTTAAAGCATTTCTATTCTTTTAGCTGATTAGAACTGCATGTGCCGGTAGCTAAAATGCCATAATTTATAAACCTTTTGGCTTGAGCTGTTAATCTTGGCATATAATAGAAGATTAACTTCATGTTTTCCATATTCAACGTACTGAGGATGACAATGGAGCAAATTCATGGGCTGCATACTTTTGATCGTGTGGCTTCCAGGCGCGATTTGTAGCAAAATTCTAACAGGGCAACAAGCATGGCTAGCACGAGACCTCCTATAAGGATATAGAAACAGCCGGCGACATTGCTCAGGGTTAACTCGTTTTGCGTAGACTCCTGCAATCAGAGATGCAAACACAGAGAAATCAGAACTGAATCAATAACAATAAATGACAAATTGACAGAAATGTCTTCAATTGCAGTGTGTATGCTCCACACCTTTGAATACGAGTTTATTGATCATGCAGGTCTACGCTGCGGTTAATTTCGAATGAAGATGAATATGTACAAGTATATATATTTTAAACAATCTTGCAACTCAGCAAGTTGAGATTCTTGTGAAGGCATTATGAAAAGATTGAAGTAAGAGCTCCAAAGACTTATAGTACAGCACAGCACACCGACGTAGTATCAGGTGATCTCAATCTTTAGATTAGAAAACCTTCGAAAGATTGGAAATCGCTATAAAAACATTTCTGTACTGGCTATTGCTTTGTGTAACGAAGACTCAGTCTCGAAAGTAAGGGTTCAACTCGGTTCTCTAAGGTCAGACTGCTGGATTACAAGATTCATCTCTAAGAAATACCCATCTCACTCAAATCTTAGACTACTAAAAAAGAACTTTCTCCATAGTGAAATCAGTTGTCGGCCAACTAGACTGGCTTTCATTTCTTTAGAACTCGGCGAGTTAACGATATATGTGATTGACTGTTAACATATCTGCGGGGTTTAATGAAAAGGTTCATGGTGATGAAAACGTTCGTATGCGTCCTATCGTTACACAAACCACAAGACTACACCGAGTCCTTACAACGACCAAAAACAAGGATTTTATCCTGTTCTCCCAAAAGGAAATCTCTGAGGCAATGAAACGGCAACATGTTGCGAGAGACGTGCTATACGACGCAACAAGGATTTTAAAAGCGTATAGAACTACGTTCGCAGGAGGATCGTTCACTATAGACAGTGAAGGAGCCGAAAACATGCATCACTTCGATATATCTGACAGTCAACGAAGTTCGGCGATGAAATCAAAGGAGTTCACCTGCTACCCTACAAGAACCTTTTGAGAATGTCAATGTCTGTTCGGTAAACATCTAGCAACACTTGAAGAAGGTTTAGTCGAGAACGAGCAGAACGTCAGATGTATTGCCGTTTATTGTGATGAAGAGGTTTCAGCTGTTTGCGTGCATCCTGCTCTCACGGGTTCTTCGATTCTCTGCGTTTGTTAAGACGCACCAGAAGTTTATAGGACGGCTATCGTTTGTTCTACTCATAAAAAAGGTTTAAAGGCAGACTTCAGTGATAGGAGGCTCATATCGCTAATGTATGTCTATTTAATTATGTTGCGTGCAAAGCCCTGGAAAACACTATAGTTCAAGCATATAGAAAAATGCCAATATTTTACCGGAATTACAATTCACCCACAGGCCGGAATACAGTACAACATTTCAGCTATGAAATCCGTAGTTTGATCAGCCAACCAAGTTCAACAAGGCTCAGTGCTATACGTTTTGACCGCAAACCTGCTTTCACACTCTTGGGTGAGTTGCTGGCTGTTTTTCGTCATTTTGAGTAGGGAAGTTTCTAATAGCTTGGCTCGAGGCCTCGTTAGTAATAAAACTTCGTGTAAATGTGTAAAAAATAGAAGTTTGTGTAATAGGTTATTACTCTAAGAATGCTAGTGTCTCTAGATGTATTCAATGCACTGTATTATGTACCTTTGATGTATATATTGTATATAAACTTTAATCAAAGTCTATATACAATATGCACAATCGGGCTGATCCACATAGTGCTGCCATTGCTATCGGTAAACATATATGGACCCGTAAATAACTCACAAAAGTGAGTGAACCGAAACACTTGACCTAAATGTATCTGTTGAAGACTGCGCCTTTTACACCTCGGATATGGGAATGCAAAAACGAGGACGTAACATAAGTATGAGTCCTCAAAAAGCACTTAAAAAGTTAAGATTAACTAAGTCTTAGATGTCGTGATGTCTATTCGACGTTCCAATTAAATCTTGCGAACGTTTTTTTGAAAAAATAATCCTATATTGCATATTAAGCTGTTTCGTACGAATTAAGGTCTAACCAAGGGTAGGAAAGAAAAATTGTGAATGTATATGCAAAAATGGAAGCACATAAACGCCACTATAATGGAGATATAGTTGAGATACACACCTATTTTTGATCATTTTAAGACTGTTGAAAATATACCGTTCACAAAAATCAAGAAGACGCACCCGCAAATGTTAGAGAAGTTTCTTTATATTACCGGGACCAGAAACAGAAATATGTCTTAGGGAAATTTATAGCAATAAGATGATGCGTCAACAATCTTTTTGCATGGAGACTATTCTTTTGCACACAGAGGATGAGTGCTGTGCATAAATCCCGTTCTGTCAAACGTTCTTCACTCTGATCAAGTACGAATAGATCAGATCTATCCTTTATTGCCATTACCGAATTAGAATGAAATTTCATCTCATTTAATTTTCGAGATTTTTACGATAAAACTTTAAAAGGTTTATTGACTTCAGGTAGATAGGCGCTGCACCTTAGGTCAACTTGGATACGGCTGAAAGCAGTGATATTCAGACGCTGCTTTTCAGACAGAGCTATTTTTGTAGGGACCGCTGTAAGAGCATGTTTTTACAATAGCCAATACAACGAGTTAGATTATGTGGTCACCATGGGTGTTGTAAGGAATTCGAGCTTAGAGGCTCTATAGAACGGAGTTTTCTGAATGTTTTGCTGGTGTAGCCCAACCCTTGGATGGCCTAATAGATCGTTTGAAGCTGGCTTTTGACTGATCAACAAATTTAGTGAAGGTTGACGACAGATGAATTATGGTTTGTAACATGATTAGCTAGACGTTAAATGGCTATCTACTTTTGCCAGGGACACAGTTGTTTATTAGAAGCTAAGCATCGTCCCACGTTAAATGTTGATTTGATCGCGCAAAAGATTTCCGGTTTACATTCTGGGAGAAAATTAACATAAACATAATAAACACTTATACACAATAAACTGCAAAGACCAGATGCGGTAACGATAACGACTGTAACAATAATTTGTGTAATCGCAATAAGGAAAAGGTTTGGCTAACCTACAAAGTATGAGTATTGCTAGAGCCTTTTTTGAGATGTTTACAGGATTTTACCGTTTCTAACAGAGTCCATTCGTATTTTGAGACTGACACGTCACAAAAAACTATATATACAGGTCGATAGACTCCCAAAAATATGACACTGTTCTTCCGGCATATTTCACTGAATAAAGCAATCGATAAAAAACAGCTGTTTGAGCGAGCAGTTACTAAGCGCTCCAACTCTGTAGTAAATTAAGACATTGTTTATTTTTTGTTTTTGTATTATTTTTACAAAATTTAAGTCAAAAGACATTGTTCTTAGGACGCGCTAAAAGTGTTCATTTACCGACAGAGGTCTCCATACTAATATTAACAGAATGACTTTGTTCACTATGACAAAAAAAAATCGCGCACAAACATAGATGACGCTTTATTTCTATTTTGCGTAGTATAATTGGCAAAAAAAAAGTCAAGCTAATTAAGACCAGCTTTAAAAACCAATGATGAGTCTGTGTAACACAAATAAATAATAGCGTGAGATGCGGCTAGTCATGTACCCACTTAAATTAAGGAACATTTTTAGCAAGCTTGCAAAAAATGGGTCACTTCGGATTTTTACGGTGCTAGATAAAAGGCGGTGGGAACTATGAGAGCGAAAAGGTGCTACAGAAATCGCTAACTAAACGATATACGGGTGTTACAAGTATGGGATAAAAGCACAATTTTCTTACAGCAGGCCATCATGGCCAATCTGCTTGTATTGAATTTTAACCGAGCATTTACCGAGATCGTTTGTAAACTAAAAGAAGAGCAATGTTGTTATTTGAAGCAGCTTATTATAATAATAGCTTGCATAAGCTTTTGAAGATTAAGATGATATGAATACCTGAAGACTTCAAGAAGTGTTGCCAATGGATGCTGCTGCACTTTTCAGAATCATATTTGAAATGAGGCGCCTTTCAAACATTCAATTGCGCAGATTTTATAACCCAACTTACTTCATGTGTGCTACATTTAAAATGCTTGCCTTATTTAAAGTAAAAAAACATTTAGTTTCCGTTTGCCAATGAAGAAAAGGTGGATATTAAGTATTCTATGCAGTAGAGATAAATATATTCGCAAAGATCTGTAAATAATGAAGTGAGATAGGATTTTGTCCGGGACGCTCATGCTACCACAAGCAGTGGTCGAGGGATCCCTGTGCACCATCGTTTCTTGCTTATGCAGCTATTCGTCGGAGAAGGGAAACAAATCTAGCTGCCCAGTTACTAGTTGGATGGGTAGGCTACGTTGCTTCGAAATAGCAACTTATGCCCATGCCGCCGCTGTAGCGCTAGGAATAGTCAGAAGTAGTCAATGTTGTAGTTGTAGGGAAGTGGCTGGGTGGGCGTTTTGGTGTGATGGGCGCGCAGGAAAATGGGGAATAGGGAGACCGCACCGGCTCAGCTAAGTTAGAGACCCCCTGAAATCCCCTTCTTCCCATTCCACGTATGTAGTAGACTCGCCGGCCTTCCTTCGTGGACCCAATTACTCGATGCCGTGCATAGTAGCCAAACATCTGGTGATCTAACAATATTGAAATACGTAGCGTCACTTCCAAAGTGTCTGCAACTGGAAACGTCTACCAGGCTCTGTACTACCAATTAGCTTCGCACTTATTAACTAAACAGCAACCATAGGATCAGTCATAGTCGAACGGTGATGTTGATACTTTCATATACGATTTATACAATTGCTGTTACGCTGTTCCTCCTTCCAGCTCCATGAAAATGTACTTGGCCGAATGAATTACATTAGGATTAACCGCCCTCTATCTGCTAACCCATAGAAGGTATTTCGGAAACAAATAGGTCTGGTGTCACGTGCATATCAACCTATAGACTGTGTGTGTGTGTAGAAGAGAAGCAACCTATAAAACTGTTTATGCTGCAACGTTCCCAGTGCCGCTCAGAAAGTAAGTATGTTTTCTAAGTTGTTTACTTGCCTGAACCCGAAGCTGAAAGGAGGATTGCGAAATCGGTAAAGCCTTATGTATGCATACACTTATCTGCTCTGGCATCCGCTGCTGCAGGTGTTTCTCCTTTATACGGCCAAACGAGCGTGCACGCTCGTTCTGCCTTCATGTTTATTTTCTGCTGAAATAAGCCTACGTACCTTGTTAGCATCTCCAGTCTTGCACTCACTGCGGTCATACCACCACTTGTTTTGCAGACGGGCCAAGTCGCCGTTCTCCTTGAATGAAAGAACCGCGAGGTTTAGCTGATCCCTGCAACGAGATAAAGCCGCCAGAGAAAATGCAGGTTTAGATACCGCGAATCGTTGTCAGAAAGAGCGGTCTCTACTGCTCGGTTCGTTTACCCAGAACCTATGACCTTTCGTCAACGTTCGAGCGGTCAGCTTGCAAGCACACCTTAGTTACTTAGTTCAACCTCGTCTTTTACCCTCGTTGCTATGTTGTTTCGTCGTAAGGCACAGTCACGCTAAGCCGCTTGTTAGCGTCTTCGGGATTATCCGAAAGAATCTACTTCAGTGCCCTTTCGAACCAAGATGACTAAGAAATACCGGAGCACTAGTTCGACAGGATGATTGCTTGTTTCTATAGACTGAACAGCTGTTTTATGCAGCGAATTCATTCCAATATATTTGAGAATATTTATTATACAAAAAAGGTCATCCACCCGTTACTACAATATAAAATTGTTGAATAATATTGCCGTTTTAATGCATCGGTTTTACAAACACGGATTTATGCGGAACCATTTTTTAGAGTCCTTAGCATTCACCGTGTGTCGAGTGTGACCCTACGAAGAAGAAGAATAGACATGTCTAAACTTCTTTAGTGTACCTTCGATTAACCATACTATATTGTAGCAAGTAAACTAATATTTTATGAATCAATCTCGATAAGTTATACTAGATTATCGAGACCGATTGATACTAAAGACTAAACTAAATCAGCCTTAAGTTTTTTGCTAAATTAAAGGGCAGTACGTACTTTGGGGGGAACTTGAAAACGTAGCGTCTCATTCTTGCCAGTAAAGATTACTTGATTGCCAAGTAAAGAGACTCTAAACCCCAATATGCAGCACTGTCTTTACTATATGGTATGATACACTAACTGTAACGCCTCCTATAGTAAAAAAAAATCTATAGATAAAGGAATATCCCTTTCGTTAAATGGAAATCTTAAGTGATCATCATCGTACATATAGCTAGCTAACGTGCAAATGTCGCTGAGGACTCGATTTGCTACTCTCCGAGACTTGGATTGAAAAAATATTCTTTGCATTGTATGTTAAAAAAACTATGTCGTGAAGTTCGTCTTAACACATACGTTTATTGAAAGCAAGAACATTATCACTGCACCGCGCAGCAATGTAAAAAACAAATTTGTTTTTAGAAATATGTTTACAAACATATTACAAACATAGTGCGTAGCAGAAAAGTATTTTTGGGTATGTGTGTTTGGCAAAATGTCGTTTGAACAATACGACAATTGTTTTCATATATTTTTCACCTAATAACATAAAGCCGATCATCAATGACGCACTGCCGTATATTATACGTAACGTTAATATCTGCAGGAAACGTTTCAGCATTGCGCCGCGTTCACAGTTTAGTGACATATTTTGCCTGCGTATCTGTAATTTTGTTCAGAGAATCCAGATGAGCTTCAGGCTTCTAGTTAATGTATAGCCCAAGTTCTACTGTTTAGCCTCCGTATTGAAGATGATCTGTCAAAAATACTGTCAACATCATAAAGGCAACAGTATCTTAAATGGTTGGAAATTTTTTCAATCATAGCGTGAACTATGCAAGTATCTAACACACACCATCAACGATTTGCCTGATTATTCAGCCCTCACGGATCACTTCGTGTTATTGTAAAGGGATACGATATCACGCGCCCTGCCCTTTTTCGCCGCAGCGTGGAAGGAAGGGATCTCAGTACAAGATAATATTCTTCAACAAGTCTTACAGAGCGGGAACTAAACCAAGGTTTTTAGTCTGCGTAATAAATAAGCTGCTGATCCATATAGGGTTCGCTACAGGCATCTCAAATGCGGCGTCCAAACTGCGCTGTTTAATAGCAGCGTTTACGTACTGGTGCACTCCCAGCTCAGCAAAGAGATGTTACCCGATCAATAATCTTTAAAAGAAAGGCCGATTCAACCGCGTCGCCGTCATGGCGGGAAGCGGCGAAGAGGTGTTTGCTATAAGCTGCTCTTCGATTTGCTGACAAAGATACTGAACAGCCGCTCAGAAGACATACATGCTAACTCTACGAAGCAACATGGGTTCCCGAAAAAACGCTCTGCCGAAACGGCGTCCTGCAGGATCCTGATGATTGACGTCAAACGAGCGTTGATCACGGGGCACAATCCGCTATACGCGGTGTTTGTCATTTGCAAGGCAGCCTTCGACTCGATGCCCTAGGACAAGGCTATGCTCACGCTAGCCGAGGTTGATGTATTTATGAGTCTGCTTAGCGTTTTCGTTGCGATTCTACAGGGAAATAGAATAACCGTCCCATCATTTGGTCTTCAATGGTTATTCTATTTTTCTGTGGAACCGCAATGAAAACGTTGAGCAGACACACTCTTTCTCTCGTCCTCTCTCTCTCTCTCTCTCTCTCTCTCTCTCTCT